AAATTCATCTAATTTTAATAATAATTTATAGTAGTGAGATGAGAGTCATTTATTACCCTGTATTGTCTCTTATGTGTGAAGATGTCCAGCTTGCCAGAATTTACAGCTCTGTGACTGTATAATTAATCTCATGCAAACTCACAAAGCAAGTTTCTCAAATAGACATATATCTCAAATACAAACATCAAGTACATTATGCATCAATACATTAAAATTTAATGTGGTAGCAGATCAGAAAATAATATGCAAAAAAGTTTGCTACGTGAAATAGAGATTTAATCCTTATTTTTCATCTCCACTAAGTCAACATATCATCCACCTGGCATGTGAATCCTAGTCCTGTTAGAACTACATCCACTGAAACAAGAATGTGTTTATACTGTTAGTTCTAAAGGAAGAATTTTCTGATTATTCACTGAAATTCTCAAATATTCATCAAGTAAAGAATGTGACCATTTTCCTTTGCTGTTGGGGTGCACCTTATGCAGGGTGGACTTTGAAGATTAAGCAAGATTTTGTTGGGCTTTTTCATCTCCCAATAGTAGAGTTTCTTAGCAAAAATAATCCAGATTTCACACCTGTGGAAGCGTGTTTGCACTTTCACTTATCTCTTTCACAAATACACAACTGTTCCTTCTGCCTTGAGGAGTGAATGTGGCATGTTTCACTCAAAGAACCTGAGTGAAATTGCATAACAAAATACAACCACATTTTCAGATAGTATTTACAGATAGTATTTTAGATAGCATTTTTAAAACTCTGTGGGAGCTGATAAAGTAACTAGGAACTGTCTCCATTGTCCTCTATCCAAGCAACTCATTCCATGTGACAGCCAGCTGAAAACTGGGGGCTGCTGATGCTCCCATTACAAAAGACAGTGACTCACCTCCTTAGAAAGCAGTAGAAATGTCGAAATGACTTCTAAGTGACTTCAGGAAGAAGACTCACACTAGTTCAAGTTCATAGCTGAAAAAAAAAAGAAAAGAGGTTTCAAGATTGCATACCACCATGCTTGTGTCGTTAGGAGATAATTTTGAATTTCCTGGTCTACTTTTATGTAATCTGATATAGCAGCATTGCAGAAAAACTTTTGCTACATATTTGTAAAAATTTTCTGCAACATGGAGGTGTTCTTCATACACTGTTCTGAAGAATGCAAGTGAGATCACTGAAATATTTGGCAGAGCAAAGCAGACAAATATGCACCCTGTTAACAAGGGACTGTTCATATTTTTCTCTTCATATATTTGTTTAAAAAGTTTAATGACACACCTCCTGAAGGGCATGATGTGTCTGCAGCTCCAAATACAGATATATGTGGAGTTGGACTCAATGATCCTTATGGGCACCTAACAATTCTAGATATTGTATGATACAAGGTAAAAGCTTGAAAATCAGTTAAGTTTCACCTAAAGTTAAAGTATTTAACTGTACATGTTACTTGCAGCTGGAATGTTCCAGCAAAAATGAGGGAACTCATGGTTCTCTTTGGCACCAGCCACTCTGGCATGGGCCTCTGTGTCACAGGTAAAGGCACAGTTGCACAATCTTCCCTGTCCAAACATGGACTATGAACATCCTTAACTAGCAAGGCATTTTAGAACATTTTGTGAAACAAGCCAAATGCTTTTCTTTCTTTTCTGAAAGAAATAACTAGCAGGAGTCAAAGTTAAACTTCTTGGGAGTAGCATTACTGAAAAGGAAAACCATAACTACGTGAGTAAGCCTAATTTCCACTTTCACAGGCTAAGCAGACAATGACCTGCTTAGTTCTCAGTCTCCAGAGGCTGCTCATCTCTCTATGCCTTCAGGTCCTATTGTCAGCATCTTATTCTCCATGATTTTAGCTGACACACTTTTCAGTCTTCTCTTTTGAAACATTACTTAAGGATTAAAAACTATGTTTATCTAATATAAAAAAGTGACTTTCGCATTTAAACCCACTGATTTGAAATGGAAATTAAAATGTTCTAATGTATTCTTTCATATTAATAATCAGTAGAAAATATTATCCCATTCTTGAATGTTCAGTTCCCTACAACACAGATGTACAGCCTATAAGAAAAAGGAAAACTTTTGACAAGTCTTCCTCTACCAGGGAAATGGCAGAACTTGACCAGCTATGTATAGGCATCTAGTACTGTTAGGTGTGCTCTGGGGTCTGTGAAACACTGCCACAGGTTGCCCACAGAGGTGGTTGGATGCACCATCCCATGACACATTCAAGGTCAGCTTGGATGTGCTCTGAGCAGCCTGATCTGCTTGATCCTGCTCTTTGCAGTGGGCTTGGACTAGATGGTTTCCAAAGGTCTCTTCCAGCCCAAACAATTCTATGATTCTATGATCCTTAAGGTCCCTTCCCACCAAAATCCTTTTATTATCCTATGATCCATGTCTTGATATCTATATCAAGCATTCAGAGATATAGATGCTGCTTTTGGACATACCCACAATGTTGTTTTCCCAGTCATTAGTAAGAAAAAGCCTGAATCAGAATGGACAAGATTTTTTCTTTTTTAAATCAGTGACTAGATTAGATCTTGCAAGTATACATACATATACAGCTACATGCATGCATATGTAGACACACAAATTCTACATATGACTTCTGCAGTTAGTCGGTCATGATTTGAGAATATCTAATATGCTCTGACATGGGATATGGCACATCGAGAATAAGGCTAACGAGTAGAAGCAAACTTTAGTCCTATTTCTAGCACTAGTATTGTAGAGTTATCATTAATTTACAAATTAGCGCAACCAAGAAGAAACATTTCTAGAAATGTTGTAAAACACTACAGACCTCAGAAAAATGCATGCCCAACATTAAAAAAAAAACAACCAAAGACAAGGTGAATACTCATTCTTGATCTAAGAAGGAAAGAGTAGCTCTCAATACCCCTGTGGGCAGTAGTTGCTTTCCCAGTGCTTTCTTTCTTTCACGGACAGGAGAATCTGAAATTGAAGTTTTATGCTCTTTCCTCTGGGACTGAAGGAGGCATGGAGATGGTCTGCATAATTCAGTGGCACCGCTGTTCCACTCACATAGTTTTAACGTGGCAGTAAGTGGCTATTGCAGAGCAGAACCTTGTTTCAGTGCACTGCTCTGAGAGTATCTGTGCTCATGAAATGATGCTCTTTTTTGGCTCTATTTTATTTGTCATTCTGAAGAGCAACAGCAAAAAATAAATAAGCCCATCTTCCATTCCAACTTCATAATCTTGTATAGCATATATTATAGTGGCATTTCAGAGCAGCCATATTCCTAAAACACAGTCTCCATCCCTCTTTCATTAAGAAATCTGCCACCTCCATCTCACCAACTTTTCAATTCTTCTGCCAAAGGGGTCATATTTATGTGCAGAAGTTTCTTTCCCTTATGTTTTAAGCTAATTTGGGGATGGTTCTCTACAGGACTAAAACTTTGTCTTAATGATCCTTGTGAGTCTCTTCTAACTTGGCACATTCTGTCAGTCTGTGTGATTCTGTAACTTGCAAAACCACTGCAAGCCCAGAGATTGCAATGTTTTATGTCAATTATATGTCTTGAAATATTTCAGCAAAATTCCCTCATGTACTTCTATGGTGTGATAGCTTTTACACATAGACCAATCTTCCCTGAGTCCTATGCAGGAACTGGAGTACTCACCCCTGCCACATCCATTACTATGCTGGTTCCTAAATGCTTTCAACAGGTGAAGGGAACTGAGAGCCACAGAGAATTATTCTGCAAGTTGATGATACGCAAACCAGAGTCTTCTGGTCTTGGAGGTTTTTGGTCCTTGTCCTGGAGTACACTGCAGTTCTGCAGTCAGCAGTGCCAAGTAAGACACTGAGCTGAGTCTTCCTGTTCCCCTTGAACACCGTCAGCAGCCAGAGCCAGGATCCTTACTCAGCTCTTGCAGCTGAACTGTGAGTCTCAGAAAGGGCTGAAAATGGGTGTTTATTGAAAACATATGAGTATTCCCTTCTATTGTTTCTGCATCCACGTCTTTGTTCTTGCAGATTTTTGCAGGGAGGTAACAAGAGAAAAAGGAAGGATCCCAAGTATTATATGTAATTTACTTAATCTAATTTATTTAAACAGTAGGGATAACGCTACTGGTTGCATTGGTTTGGTTATGTGTGAATTATGTTAGAGTACAAATCACATTTTAAAGTTTAAAAAAAATCCAGATTTGAATTATAAGCTTTGTGCTGGATGTTTTGCCTAGAAAGCAAACAGACCTCTCAACAAATTTGTTTTTATTTCAAAATATATAATTTGCCTTTGACTTAATTATTTATGGAAGCTGTTGCTTTAAAAGTTGCTAATTAGGTGGAAAAAAAAACCATTCTGATAACAGACTTTGGCCCAAAACAGATGTGTAGAAAAAATTCTTTCTATTATATGGAAACAAAGTCGCATAAAGAAAACATTAAGTGATTCTTAAAACTGCTTACAGCACAGTAAGAGGTGATTTAGATGAGAAGGAAGGCAGAACCCAAACCTGGAAATGTTTATTTATTGTTGTAGTTCTACTTACCTCATAATAATAGGCAAATCTACACCCCAAACTCAACAAGAACATTTCATTGCACTTCCTATTTAAAATCTTCAGTGAAGGACAAGGAAAGAGATTAACTTGATAATAGATCTTTCTCCAAAGAATTATGTAAGTACGATTTTGTATATAGTTAGGAGAAAACTGCAGTGTCTATTGCTCATAATCAGAAACTGAAATGTGAGCTAGGCAGCATGAAGAGTGATACTACAAAACAGAAATAAAGTCATTTTGATAAAATGGATGTACAAATTCCCTCTGTCTTGAAGTTTAAAACCAAAATGTAACATGTTGCATTCAGCAAGAATGAATTATCCCTAACCCTATTTTACAGCATTAGGGATAAGATCACTTGATGGACCATATAACAAATGCATGCCATTTAGTAGTATGCCAGGAAATAGCAGAGCATTTCTGGTTTTTCCCCACCAATTCACAGCCACTGAATATGTGATTTATATGTTTTATTTAAGATAGAAAATTTAAGAAAGTGCTTTGCTGATTTTCTTGATATGGTCTGTCAGTTGATAGTCTCTGTGGGGGAAGTTTCATGTAAGTTCCGATGTAGCTTTGATATCTCCAGGAAAAAAGCTGCAAACAATTTGGTTCCTTCAATATAGTTGTGTCTGTGAAGAAGGAAAGAAACACAGTGAAATCTTGTAGGCTGTCCTGCTCTTAAAATTAGGAACATAGTCCAGTGAAGTTTTATGAGTCTTCAGAGCAATTTGCAATATTGGTAACCCCTGGAAATTACCCAATGCACAGAAGTGCTGGACATCCTTCAATTTGGTACTCCTCTGGATTTACTTCAGGTTTACATACCCAAATTGGTATTACCTATAGCCAGCAGCATTGAGACTTTAACGAGGGGAGACAAAAAGTAATTTGAGAATTATTATAGGATTCTCCTCTTTCCAGAGTTCAGCATGAGTTGACTCAGAGCCTGCACAAGTGTTCAGGCAACACACTGAATAGTGGCTTACCATGGTGCCTCCAACAATAAACACTAGTGACAAGTTTAAGCTATTTTTTGTATAATTATGCGAGCTTTGGTCCCTGGACTATAAATAAATCTTTATAGCTGTTTATACTGAAAACCACCAAAATCCTCTCATAACTGTGAGTATCTTTGACTGGGGCACTTCAAAACAGATACTGTGATGGAAGAGTGCCCATCCACACCATCATCTTTCAGACCAGAGGCAAATTTCATTGCCAGAGAAATGAAAATTGCCGATGCAATGAATTTAAAGACTGAGTAGACACCCAGTGAAAAGTTTATAATGGTATGCATTAGACTGGGAATTTTGCTTGCTTGCTTAGCACAGCAACTAGCGTGCTGGAGATGGTCGGTTTGGGCTGCCCAATGCACAGCAAAGCTTCCCATCTGGGCATGCTCATTCATGGGCAGCAAGGGACTTCAGTCCTCCCCCCTTCTCTAATAGAAGACACAGACAAATGAAAGAAACCTGCTTATTTTCTCATTCTGGGAATGCTCCCCATCATCGGCCGCTCCAATCGGAAGCATCATCACACTTTTCTGTGTCACAGTCTGAAACATTCTGGCAACAGGAATTGTTGAGCCATCACGGATGAAATCTGGATCTTCTCCAAAAACTGAAATATATTGGAAAAATTAATTAATTAATAGGTGTAATCCAGCTGCTTTTTTTTCTGCTATCATAGATTTAAGCAAAGAGCTGATACTAAGAGCTTCTGAGTAGCAATGGGTTTGAGTGTGTAGCCAATTGATTTCACAAATCAGCTCTGCTCTTTAAACCTCTGGTTTCTTATCAATACAAAAATAAGTAAATGAGGTCTTTTGGCTACTTCTATAAAACATATCAAAATTTAGCAAGGTGTGGAAGATGCTGATGAGTTGTTCTGTCAAAATCAATGACATTTGTAAGGGTAAGAGGCTGCAGCACTGAATTGGGAAATCTGTTTTGCCCTATTGTTGAGCACAATGCCCCTGCACACTTACAGACACACTAAGGGCTGGGGAAAAAAAAGGACAAACCTCTTTTTATTGCCCTTTTTGCTGCTTTATATAGTAGATCATTAATATCAGCAAGCCAGGGCTTTGCACCCAAAGGCATGGACACTTTCAGTTTGTTTGGACTGTTCCTCTTGGAAAAGATACCCTCCAGGTGTTCCACCACCTGTAGAGAGAAGTGTTCAAAAATTTTTCATCTTGCAACTCAAGCTTATATCCACATTCCTCCTTCTCTTGGAAAGAAATAAGTGCTAAAACCATTCAGATTACTACAAGTTTAGATTTGTGAGGTGCTAAGAGAGACTAGTTCACACAGTAATGGCCAAAGAAAAGACTTGTCTCTTACCTGTTTTTTCACAACTGAAAGGTCCATGTGGGGGACCTGACGGATAGAGAATTTGCCAATTACTTTTGCTGGAATGACTGTTTTAATGCCTGGTTCATGGAAAGCTCCTTCAATCCCATGAATAGAGAGAGAGGGGTAACGCCACAGGTGTAGAAGTATTTCTTCCTTTAAAAAAAGTTCAAAATATGAGGGATTGATATAAACAAGCCACTATTTATATAAAAAAAGCTTTTTGCATCCTAAAATTTGTGTTTGAACACCTCTGTATTTTAAATATATTTGATTTTTTATTTAAACCCATGCACGTGTATTTTCATCTTAAAAAACCACTACTACTTCCAGTCATATGAGGATTTGGACAGGGTAACATTTTTTCATGAAAAATAAGAAAAATAGAGCATTGTTTTAAAAGTCTTCAAAGTAAATTTTCCTAGTGCAAAGTAGTATCAGAACAACTGTTCTGACTGCCTGTTTATCCCAGAACTTGTCACTGGAAAAACCATGAAGATCCAGATCCATCACAGATGACACCAGTAAAGAAATTCTACTAATGAACACTAAAAAACACAATAGGAAAGATTGTAATTTTCAGTAACTAAGTTTTCCTGGAAAAGATGCAGAAGGAAAACAAAATATTATGATTATTATTCTAAGGAAAATAGGAGAAATGTATAAATTATAAACTGGTCTTCATGCAGAACCTCAGGTGCTGCTGCTTTCCTTCAGTTTTATGAGACTAGACCTCAATCTACACATAAAATCAACATCGTATAAATAATAAACCGGTCTTCATGCAGAACCTCAGGGTGTTGCTGCTTTCCTTCAGTTTTATGAGACTAGACCTTAATCTACACATAAAATCAACATCAATTCATCTTCATGCAGGTAAAGCATTGAAACTCAGATAGTGTAGTTACATTATACTCATGTATTACTGATTCTTACAGTCTAGCTTTAGGTAATTTGAAAGCTTTTTCCTGGAAATAAAAGTACCCATGTTAGCAGAACCTACACCACAATAATTATGTTAGCAATAAAAAAATTAATCAACTCCTTTCTCCCAGCTGCCACTCTTGTGCAGAGAAATCTTTCCAAGCCAGCCCTTAGCTGCTGCTTTTTTACTTGGGTTATAATTTTTAATTGCTGGTAAGGAGAAGCTTGTAGCTTTGGATGCTTTTTATGGTGGGCTTGGAAGACATAAAAGTCTGTATTAAATAAAAAAAACCTGAAACGTATCTGCCTAAGGCTGCCTCCCATGTTTTCAGAGCTGAATATAACTTCTTTCCTACTATGTAAACTAGATGTAGGCATTTTAATGCATGTTTTATTTGGCTGATTAGGCTTAGGGGGAGAGAAGGGGTAGGTAAGGAAGGGAGACTTACACTGTTAGCTTTGCGTCATTACTTGTAATTGATTATTCATATTTCAGATCACTTTCCCTAGATGCAGTGCCTTACATTTTCAGCAGACTGATTTTATTTATCTTTTACTTCTCAGTGCTCCTTTATTTTATTTTGAGCTTGTCATTGACTGAAAATATCTTTCAGTTTGGCTTTATATATAAATGCTACAAATAGGTGATTTAAATTCTTTCTGCTGAGTATTCATACAGATTTTGTGTTACCTTGGTGCCATAGAGGAATTTTTTCACACCACAGTTATTTCTGTGTTCCTCTGGATCAAATTCAATCGATTCATATAACTTCCTTTCCTCCTCTGTCAGGGCAGCAACACTGTCATAGATTCCAGGGATCTGAATACAACCTGTGGAGTCCACAAGACTGTCTACAAAATAAGATACAGATATCAGTACAAGGGGAGCCTCTATTTCTTCCCCTTGACAATCATAACACCTTATCCCTTCTACCTAGCTCTTTACCAAATTAGTAAGCCTAACAACTGTTTGCATCTGTCAAGTTGCTTCAGCAAACTGATATATTTGCATATTTATTAAGAAAACCATTGAGCTGCTGTTTGTGTGTGGTGTGTGATGTGTCAGCCCAGCTCCTGACATGAAAACATCCTACTGGGATACAAAGGAGCATTAAAAAGTCAGGTTTTGCTATGTATGCATGTATTAAAGTTGCCTGTAATCCTTAAATATTCTTAATTGATGTGTGACTGACATCAGCTTAACATGTCTCAAGTCCTGGGCCTTACTGAGGACATTCCCTTCCTCAGCTGCCACCACCATAGCTGTGTTGAGGTTTGGAAATCTGGGGCTTTTGCTTCAATGAGACTTGCCTTACAACAGTTAACCGTGGCCCTGACCTTCCTTAGGCTGGCCATGGGCAGCTGTCCCCAGCTGCTCCTGACAGTGCTGTGTGTTCTTACCCAGCAGGGCGATCAGGTCCATCAGCGGCTCGTGAATGATGCCCCCAAAAGTTCCAGAGTGAAGGTCCTTGCTGCCACATTCAACCTGCACCAAAACCACTGGTTACTTGTAAACACTCACTACCTTATTCTTCTGTGTTTGTTTTCCACAGTGACTGGTGGTTCCAGGTTTTTTTGAACAAGATCACAAATGAACACTAAATGATTTTTTTTTCTAATCTTTAAATAGAAAACATCATGTCAGGAGCAATCTGGTTTGGCAGAGAAGATGGAGCTCTGTTGTCAACCACCAAGAGAGAGAAATTCAACTGTCTGTAGCACTCACACATTTGAGAGCAAGGGTCCTCCTCCACTCCCTCTTTTGCTTCAGTAAGATTAAAGACATCATACATTAAACATTTGCATATTATTACTGTTTCTAACATTGGAGAATAAATTCTTCAAGATGTCAATCCCTTTTATTTAATGCAAAATCTTCTTTAAAAAAGGGGAAAAATAATCTTGTTTGATATTAAGAATATATGTCCAATCTTAATTCAAGATTGCAACAAATAAAAATTTATAGGTCTCTTGAATAACAAGTCATTAGAATAGAGGCATTTGAGTTATTAAATGGGCTCTTTTTCCAGACACATTTTCATACTTGAGTTTATCATAAAATATTTTCCTGCAAAGGACTTGTTTATTCTTCTCAAAACCTCATTACAGCTAACTGTCTACTAGCAGGGAGAGATCATTTTTGATGTTTTAATAGCATCATTTTTCTTAACCAAGACTTAGAACAATTGAATCAAGGCTGCCAAGGCTCTTTCAGTTAAAAAAAAAGAAAAACCTCATTCTTTTTCAGACATAAAGGTTAATGCAGATTTTTCTTTAGTTTCCAAGTTCTTTAATCTTCTCTCTGAATTCCTTTTATGCTTCATCAGGAAGCATTTCCAGATGAGAAATTTCTGCTCTTTATTTCACAGTAGCTCACATTGCCTGCTAAGTATAGCTACAGTGTTGGCTACAGTGAACTTTTATGCTCCTGCCAGTGTTTACAAAAATTTTGTGTGGCTTTTAAACCCAGAGACCCAACCAAACTGAGTCCCTTTAGGCTTGATTCATTATACTGAGCAGTATCTGCTGCAAAGGGGCAGAGCAGCAGGAATGATGGGTTTGGAGAGAGTTGGAGAGGGAGGTGTAGGGATGGTGTCCACGAGAACAGAGTTGCTATGCAGAGGGAAGGATGAAAAGAGACTGGCAGAGTAGCAGGAGAGTAATGGGATAGGAAAGGGATCAAAGGAAGAAATGATTGAAGAGAAGTTAATGGAAGTAAATAAGGCTAACGGGACTGAAGTGAGGAGGGGAATCTGCAGAAGCCAAAAGGGATGCGGAAGAAAGCTCTGTACTTGTAAATATCAAGCTTTCCTTCAGTCTTTCTCTGCATGCAGATGTAAGCACAGCTCCAGCATCGCTGTCTGCCAGAGGCTCAGCTGGAGTGAACCTGTGTCCTTTACCTCCACAAAGAAGCAGGCGTTTCCCCGACTGCCGTAGGTAAGGGCTGGCTTCTTGTTGCTGAGCCACAGGTTGTCTGAAATTACAATATAATCAACATCAGAGAAGAAGCTCTGGTTCTGTTCCTCAAGTATCTTCTCTAGCCCCAAGGATCCTGCTTCTTCCATGCCTTCAATTACAAACTTGAAGTTCACTGGCATAGCCTGCATAAAAATTAGAAAAGTCTGGGTAAGAAACAAGCATTTAAATTTTTTAAAAAAAGCTTTAAAATTAGGAGCAGACTTGGTTTGCTATACAAATTGTGTTAGGATAAGAAAGATGTTGGGATGAGTAGTAGGATATATAGCTTGCTACCTTAGAAAAGCCAGTGGCAGACACATATAGATTCCCAGAAAAACTAGTTATTTTCCTCATGTTTTTATTACTATTCATTTTTAAAGGACAATAAGCAATGTCTTTTTTTCTTCTTTGCATTTTCAGAAAACTTGCTGGAAAGATTTATTAAACAGGCTTTCTGTCAGTGATATTCCATATTCTAATTGCTTTGGAAATTATAACTGTCTGATAGCAATTGCATTTTCACAGAAAATTTCCTGCCTCTTACATTTCCACTGTTACTGCCCGTGTGGGAGCCACTGGCTGTGGTTTTCCCAGTGTTGTCTATCACCAGACTTACATGATGATAAAAACATTGTCAGTGCCTCTACTATAATTGTCTTTTTAACACTCATAAATTTGCAAGCCTGCTGGTTGATAACGATGCATTTCCAAGAGTAATTAGGAGAACTTTTATTATGGAATAGTGGGAGTTGAAAATGCTGACACATCCCATAGGGGACATAAATTTTAACTTAGTTTCCTGTTGCAATTCATTTTCTCATTAGAGGTTTTAAGATGTTTTCGCCTTTGATTCGCTGCTCAGATTAAAGACAAGAACGAATATGTAAAATTAAATGAAATTGTGTCATGGATGGGTTCACTGATGGATCATCAGCTGGCCACAGAAATTTTAGAAACAAAGTGTTAATGAATATTGTTTGATGGTCTGTGCTGTTTTCTAGAGAAATGCTTCAAATGCCAAAAATTCCTTTTTGCTTGTTTGTTAAAATGTCAAGATAGCTATTAGTGGTTTGAAAAAACTAGAAAGATGTAAAACCCATAACCATATCCACTTACAGCAACTACTCTTTAGGCAAATAATGTGTGTTTTCTAGGGTTTGAGACTGAGGTCAAATCAGTTCTATAGATGCAAGAAACATTTTCCAGAGGTTGTAAGGGGACTTTAAAAAAAACCCAAAAAAACAACAACAAGACTTAATGCTCAGTTTGTACCATAATGTCATACAAGAGACAGGAAACTGTTTCTTATCACACTAACAGAATATGCCATTCAAATTCAGTTTAAAGGATGACAGTTAACCCAGTTACAAGCCTAAAATATATTTTTGGTTTACCTTGACTTTTGGGGGCAAGACTACTCCAAAATTATTAAATTATTTAAAGATGGCTGTGTTAGTCATTGTAGCAATTTAGGGGCAAATGTCTGACCTCAGAAATATGTCAGAACCTGAGTGATTGTATTTGTATTTGGTGAATGCACCCATTCAAAGTGTTTGCTTTGATTAATCTCCTGGTGACATAACAGCCCATTTTGGATGAACATATATAGATGCTTATTCTCTTTACACAGACACGTAAATTGAAGGTATCTTGTAGGCAGACAAAACCAAAGATCAGCAGAATGTATCAGCAGAGAGGAGTCTTCATCAGCATTCTGTAATGTCTGTTATTTTACCATTTTAAAAGCTCTCAAGAGAACAGAACAATTATCAGAGCTGTGTAATGTATGTAATACATATTGAATGCTTCCCCGTGGGTTTTCCTCTGCAGGGGAATGGCTGTAAGAGTTGCAGACAGGCTGTTCAAAACAGAAATGCTCAAAGACAATCTCTTACTGGAGTGGGACCAGTGCCCTAAGTGTTGCATCATAAATAGTTAAAGTTTCAAATTGTGTATAGTCTGTTGGGACAGAGAGGTATCATCTTACTCAGGAATGTGAATACATCCCTCCAGAGATATAATAAAAAATAACAACAAATAATGTTAAATAGTAAAAATTAGCAATAATAATAATAAATAAGTCATCATTGATACCTACTAATTTCAAGGCTCTAAATGTTTCCACTGCATTTATCCAAGCTAGGACTGGTCCCTTATTGTCTGTTGCTCCACGACCATAGAGGTTTCCTTCAAAAGAAAAGAGAAAAGTTTTTAAGCAATCTTTGTATTTTTCCTCATCACTTCAATGTAATTGGCAAATTCCAGTTGCCACAGAAGCTTTAGTGATGGAGGGAAGAAATGTCAAAAGTGTCAGGATTTCACTGACTCATTTTAAATAAGGTGATGAGTGTTTGGGTGCTTCTCAACAGACCAGTACACTTTTTTTCCCCCTCTTTCCTTCCTTTTATATGCATTATGTTGTGGTTTCTGCTACATGCCAATTTTTGAGCTTCACTTTTCTTCTCAGGAACTGTTTGTTCATACCAGATATGCCTGGAGGGTTTGCACAATGTGCAGCTTCTGGACACATCAGACCAGCTAACAAGCAGCAAAAACCCTACAGATAAATGCCGTAGCAGAAATATGAAGCTACAAGTCTAAGTATTTAATTTCTTTTTCAACTGCACATCCTATACAGTTATCACTGTACATGAAACTGAAATCTGTGCCTGTGTATAAACTTCTGTAGCACTCCTCACTGGATATACACTGGAATAAGGCAAAAGAATTATGCCAGAAAGGCTGTTGGGAATTGATCCCAGATAATGAGAAAGGGCAACTCAGTGGTTATAGCCTGGGAATCAGGATTTCTGAGGTCTTACTTAACTGCTGACCCTGTATCCATTATTTTTGTTCCTTCAGTCAGCCAGCTGTGCGGGAAGGATAATTACATTAAGGGGTCCTCACATTCTTCCACCACAAATGCTAATATTTCCACACCAAATATTAGGCAGTCACTGCTGGATCTCCCTAGTCACAGAACAATCATCAAAGCTGAAAGCTGCTGGACATGTCCCAAAGATTTCCACAGAAATCCTCATGTTTTGGTTTAAATATACAGGAACCCTTCTCCCACACAGAACCTCAGTCATGTATTCCAATAATGATCCGAAGATGCACACCGTCAATTTCAGTCAGTGTGTAGGGGTCAGTGTCCCAGCCATCCTCCTTCTTGGCAGGCTGCACATCCACATGACCATAGAAACATACAGTGGGGTTTTGTGGATCCTTCCCCAGCTCTCCGAGAATCACAGAAGGCAGTGGGAGGACTTGGCCATCAGGCAGCTGTGGAAAAAGGTTAGAAAAAGGCAACTAAGGAAAACCAAACCTTCTAAAACTTACAAATGTACAAAAACATCCGGAATTCTCAGTATTGAAAATACTTCTACACTCAATTGACTTTGATTTGATGAGGTGCACAAATCTGACTGAATCCAGTTCTAACCTATTCAGGGAAACTAAGATCTTTCTCCTCAACTGTTTATTTCTTGCTGGACTTTGTCTAAGTCTTCTAACATTTTATTGTCATAAATGCCCTCCTCACTAAGCTCTCACTTCCCAGCACTAGAGGTAACCTTGTGCTATGGAGCCTATTGTAACACAAATAGTCAAAAGCCACACAAATTAATTTGGGGTTTCACTTCACCACAAACAGAGGGCAGGAGGCCTGTAAGTTCAAACACAGAAATTGAAAAAAGTGTTGCTGGCAGGAGGCAGCAGCTATGTCAGATTGTTTTAAAAACAGGTGAAGGCTAAACCCCTAATGTGGCTCTGTGCAGAACAGAGCTCCACACGGCCCAATTGCATTCTCTGCAGCCATCAAATGACACAAACTGAAATATTAAACTGTTGCTGTACTTCAGGGTCCTTGTGCTAAGAATGAGAATCCTCACCAAAAGCATCAGAGAAAAGAAAAGAGAATCAGTATTATTGAACTTTTTAATTCCTGTTAGATTAAGAATATAACAGCCCAGGGCAGGAAAAAGCCCATGGCTACAGTAAGGTAAGTTAATTAGAGACTAAGGTTTCTCAGAGATGAATTCTTCCCTATTGCTTTCCAACAATGAAAGAAAATTGTTTGGATCATTTGTCAGAAGCTCTGAAAACCAAAGATGATGCTCTAGGTAGCTAACCGTTAGATGTTCTGTCTGACAACATTTTCCTTGTAAAAGCAACCTCCCTCATAAAGTAAGTTCAGTGACAAATGATGCATTAGTTCTCATGCTTCATTACAGACAAAAATTTTAAAACTAGGCCCAGTAAAAAACCTCAGTCATTTTACTTTTGCAAACTTCTTCCCTCCAGTTAAAAGCATCAAACTCCCTCCTATGCAGAGAACATCAGTTTGCATTTGGATTGCCTGTATGGTTCCCAGGATGCTCTCATTTCTCAGCCCTGATTTCAGCAGGTATCATGTAGGTACAGGACTGTTGATAAATTTGCATCCAGCTTTCAAAAAATAACACTATGTCATAACATACATGTACATAGCAGTGAATGCAATAGGTAGGCCCATGGGTAGATATGATGTTTTAAGTCCAAAAATCAGAGAAGCACCTGATGTGACCCCAAGTTTACTAAATTAACAGTGGCTCCCAGTGTTGTGAGTCTGTCTGCTGCCAATGCCATCATTCGCATCACTTCTTTCCTCAGATGTGGTTGAACAGAATCACTTTCCACAGCCACCCATTCCTTCAGATCCTGCACAGGAAGAAATGTGCAATTAGGTGATTAAGAATGTTGTCCTTGGCCCTTGTATCAGAAATCCCACACTGGAAGATGATTTCCTTTCTGTGTCATCACAGCATTATCATGGATGCTCTAAGGATAGAGAAGAGTCACTTAGATGTCCCCACAGGATTGAGATTCCCGATTTTCTAAACAGGGAGGGTGCTCACACTTAGGCATTCACATTGTCAACCCTGGACCTAAAATCCAGTGGAAGAGGAGGTAGACTAGACGCTGACTAGTTTGCATTATAGAAATTGCATTATGTACAACTTACCTTGGTGGTTCTCATGAGGATTCAGAAGTGCTCATAGATTGAAAGCATAACTGACTGGACTAATTATGTTTCTGTCTTTTCCCAGAGGGTTGACAAAAATAAAAGTACAAGCCAGCAAGGGACCAAGACTCCTCTCTTTCTAAAGAGCAAACCTACAAAAATCAGTTCTGAAGCAAAGACAGTGACCATCCTATCTGGCTCGCATGCCCCATGCAGTTGCATTTTGGCTTCATGGAGCATCTGTCTGAACACACTCAAAGGATGCCCACAACCACCTCTTTTGTGGAAGTCCATGCAAGTTCCTCCTTCACTCCAGGGGTTCCCAGCAGTTTGCCCTCTTACAGCCTTGCTGTGTGAAGTGCATATTGCACTCCTGGAACCCTGCTCATTACCTTTGTGACAGGCACTCCTTCTGCCAGAGGAGCCCAGGCCTCTGGGCCCCCAGCTCTGTGTTCATTATTTCACTGCAATATAGCTCCTACCTTGATGAAATCACTTTCATGTGCATCAATGTACTGGAAGATCTTCATCTCCAATGCTGAAGAGGATGAAGAGGACATTCTGCCTTAGAGAGCAGCACAGGGCTGAAATGGATGCTAGCTGAAAGTTAAGAATAAAACTCAACATTAAACACATCCTGCAATATACATTTCTTTTCAGCACTAGAAAGCAGAGACATTCACAACGTGCTGAGCTTAAATAAGTCTCATTTAATCTCCTGAAGCCAGAAGAAAGCGTACTCATTTTATCACATAAAAACTTCAATTGATTCATAGTCAAATTGCTGAAAGAAAAATTGAAAAAATTACCAAAGAGTGAACGTCTTTAGTGCTAGCTTTATAAGTAACTTAGGGATAACATTTTCTAAAGAAACATTTGTTGCTTCCGTTTTTCAGTACACGAGCATCAAATTGTATGTTCTGGGAAGACAACCCTGGGGCAAGACTTGCAGACACCAACAGCCCAGGGGACTCATCTTTCTTTTTCTTCATTTCCAGAATCATAGAATATCCTGAAATGGAAGGGATTCACACAGATATCTGAGTCTAGGTCATGGCCCTGCACAGCACAATTCCAAGAATCCCACCATATGTCTGTCAGTCCTCATGCTGTGACCACTTCCCTGGGGAGCCTATTCCAGTTCCCAGCCACTAATCTGGGTGAAGAACATTTCCCTGACATCCTGCCTCAACCTCAGGCCATTCCCTTGGGTCTGGTCACCACGGTGATGAGATCAGTGTCTGCCCCTCCTGTTCCCCACATGAGGAAGTTGTGACTGCAGTGAGGGCTGTCCTCAGTCTCCTCCAGCTGAACAGAACAAGTGATCTCCAGTGCTCCTCACACAGCTTCCCCTCAAGGCCCTTCACCATCTTCATAGTCCTCCTTTGGACATTTTCCAATGGTTTAATATCTCTCTTAAATGGTGACACCCAAAACTGCCCCCAGCACTCAAGGTGAGGCCACTCTAGTGCAAAACAGAGCAGAACAGTCTCCTCCCTTGCCCAGAGGGTGATGCTGCACCCCAGGACATGATTTTCCCCCCAGACTGCCAGAAGAAGGCAGGAAATGGATTCACTGACACACATTCCATATTTTACGTGAATCAGGGAAAACAAGCCTGACACTGGAGAGTATTAGAAAACAAATAGCTTTTGTGATTGATTAAGCATAGTGACAATACTGAAACAACTTGATAAGTGCAGAATTCATTTATTACCTGCAAAACTCTGCCATCTTTTTTTCTTTTGACAAGATAAGTTTCTAAAGTTTGTTTTTCTTATTCCTCCAGTTTTCCTTTCATGTTTGCTTGAAGTTGTTGCTGTAATGTCTTGAATTGGTATTAGCAGAGTAATCCTTGATTGGCTAAATACTTGACTGAGCTAAATGCAGAACAGCTGTTGTATCAGGCTGTGATAGGATGGACTCCAAGGTCAAAACCCAATTCTTTTCTGAAGATATTCCATAATACTAACAAAAGGTATAGTTGTAGATCCATCCATAACTCCTTAACTTTGATGCATTGCTAAGGTGATAAGCTGTGGTAATATTAATAATTTCAATTATGTTTCTCTGACAGAGAAAGAAGATTGAAACCCAAGCATGATGAACAAGATGAGGGAAACATTGTTCACTTTGGCTGGAGATCCTGGCTGTGTGAAGGATGAGGCCCATTTTCCAACCTTCCACAGAAGCAAGGTTACAAGGTTTGCTTCACTTTCTGAAGTGAAGCTTTGAGAAGGCCTCTGACAGCAGATATAGTTCCCAGTGTTCAGTTCCTGACATCTCTTAAGACTGGAGACACTGGTATTGAAACAGACCAAATGCTGATTTTTCAGGACAGTGAATCTGCAAAGCACTGTTTTGGAGAAGACTTGTTAACCAAGCCAAGAAAACCCAAATTTGGAGGTGGTTTTTAGGATGGAGAGATTAAATTTAGCCATATTCTTTAAATATATAATTTTTTAAAAATACTAAGCCCCAGCCTTAAGTGATGGTCAAAGTACCATTTTCTTCTCACATTGTTTTCTCCATAAAGCAGTAAACCCTACCTCCAAGAGGTGGATTTAATCAACAATCCCTTTCAAATATTTTCATCACCAGTCACTGCAGCAGCAATTTGTCCTAAAGCAAGAGTGATTATTACATGAATTTTTGAAGCAAGCATGGAAAAAATCTGGACACTTTAGATGAGACAAAACAGCTTCTGGGATTTAGCAACAAAGACATGATAGAGAATGAAGCTTTGATTATTAGGTTACAGTTGCCTTTGGATTGAGCTTCTGCAGGTAAGGCTTAAGAACAGGAATTCTGCAACAAACACCCTAAACTTAAAAGCCCCAGTCTGGCTGTTTCTTCCAGCCTTGGACTGTGCGAGTGGCTGCAAATATTTGTCAACTGAAGCCCATTTTCCAGGGGGCAATAGGAGGCCGGAGTGTGGACCACAGGCACGGTCAGGAGAACTTCCCAGGCTGCACAGGGCAGAGGAGAGAAGACCACGAGCCCCAGACTGGGGTGGTGCTAACAGGACCCTGGCAAACTGCACCCTGAGTTTCCTGGCACAGACAAGGCACTGGCTCGTGCTGAGGTGGTGCCTGGGTAGATCCAGGAGGGCGTCTGAGCCAAGACATTGCAGGTCATGTTCAAAAGGAGCTCAAGGTCATTGGAGATGATCAGCACAAGGTAAAAGCTGAGCACAGAGACCATTTATGTTGTTTTCATTTTTGCCACTGTGAGCCCTTGGGGGACCAGGCAGTGGCCCTGCTTGTGCCATGTTGCTCAGTCTCACTTCAGCCAGCAGTGTGTCCCAGGGGAGCAAAGTTTACCTTCAGGCTGGTGCTTTTGACTGATAAAGTGTAGTCCACCTGGGAGCTGGGCACCACATGAGCTGAAGAAGAGGATAGGACCATGATGGGTGCATTTGTGAGGGGCGCTCTGAAAAAGTGCAAGGCACTGCACCCCTAGAACAAAGTGACAGAGATAGGAATGGTACAGGATTTCAATCAGCTGTTCATCTAGAGAGACATCAGGGCCATTATCTTCCTTTACCACAAATCTGGCTGGATGCCTCAGTTTCACACATATTTCACTCATATTTCTACCTTGTAGAAAAATGATGTAATTAAAAAAAAAAAAAGGTGAAAACCTTGTAGAAAAGTTATGAAAAATGGAAAATACCTTGTAATTTCCAAACCTCAGTTTGGAAAACATTTACAACAGAGGCTACTGAATGCACCCTCATTTAACCTTACTGTAGAAAACTAGACAGGCTTCCCAAGTTCACTTATGTAAAAATAGATCTTTTGGTTATGCCATGCTTGAACAAGGAGATCATAGCAGAGGTCCGAACAGGGCTGCTAGAGGCACCAAGCTCATGCAATGGATTTAAATATCAGTGTCTCCATCACATCATGATTTCCCCTCTCTCTAGTCAAATCTTTGATATTGCTGTATTCTATGCATTTTCACTCTAAAAAAAAAATAATATATTTATATATATGAGACACCTTATGATCACTTGAATAAATACGTACCTTTTAATGTCAGAAGCACAAAAGGGCTGCTTGCTTTAACAGAGGACGTCTGCTGTGGTGCTGATACCTTTCTCTTTTTGTCTCAGTTACGTGCAAATGACCTGGAAAGAGGCAGACAAGAGACGTAGGTCTTTGTCACGTTTCATTAGCATTTAACTGTTTAAGAAAATGAAACAAGGAAGCTAAAATGCTGTGAAGGAAAAAAAAAAACCCAACCAACCAAGCAAAATATCCTAGGGAAATTTGGAATTATTCTGTGATATTTTCAAAACAGCCAAAACTTCAAGAAAAGATCATAGAATAACACAAAAATATTCTCATTAAAGTAAGGAACAGTGTCAAAGTTTGAGAAATTAATATAAGGAGATACCAAGTAGCAGAGTGCACAAAATAATAATTCAAATGAGAAATTAAGTAACAGCTATGTTTTGCTGTAGTAGAAGGAGGGAGGGAGGGGAGTAGCTGGTGGAATTTCATGTTAATGTACTACTAATACACAAAGTGCAGCTCAGGAGCATTTGGATGGCAACTGGAACAGCTCGTGTCAAAAAGGGAGTCAGTTTAATAAAGCTGTAGAAAGATTTCAGGCAAGGCTGAAATATCTCAGTGTCATGAGGAGGGGAAAATTATTTGAAAGAATGATAAATTCGGGGGGATATCAAACAAAGGCTTCAGTGTTCAATGTCAAGTGTATTTTATTTGATGTCATTTAAAGGAGCAGTTTCTGCTCTATAGAAAAATGTAATATGCCTATTTTTAGAAATAATTCATGGCAGTCAGTTGTGCTTTTTCTCCTCCTTTGTTCCTTAGTAGTAAGAACATTTTTTGTCTCTCTTCCTCCCATGTTGTTAAGCACTGTTAAAAGAAAACTTAGTGTTTTTCTGTGGTGATTTAACAAGAAATCCAAGTTGATTCTTTAACCAGGATGATTCTTTGATGAAATATCAACTAAACTTACAAACATTTGATAAGTAGGTCCTGAACATGCTTTGAAGGCCTCCTTGTCTCTCCTGAAGCATGTGCTTCATGCACGTCCCTCCCTGCGACACCGCGTTCCAGGTGGGTGCAGGGAGGAGGGTGCCAATGAAAACTGAACACTGGGTTGCAAACACCTCAGAGAAAAACAGTCAGGACTCATCTGGCTTGCAAATAACAAAGTACATTTGACATGAAAGAAGATAAAGATGTTTATGGCAGTTGGAACTAATTTACCAAATCAATGGTGGACCCCATTGAAAGGAACATTCCCCCTAAGCAATCACCATCAAGGAAGGTAACTGAGATAATAGGTTTATTTTTTAACTTCCTTTAACAATACTCATTGATAAGTGGCATACCTTTGGTAGAAGCAGGCAATCAAGCCACAGTCACCTCTCCAGCTGAGTGAGACCCTTGGAGGAGGAGGAGGATGAGGATGACAACTCTCCACGTGACCAACCCTGAACACACGCAGCCGCTCTTGTTGTGAGGACCAGGAGGTGCAGAGATCCAGAGATCCCCCTGCAGGGGAACAAATACCAGCTCACAGTGCCTGACTGCATTTGAAGATTGCTAAAGAAATGTCATCCAAATCAACAGACTGTGTAACAGCAATGAAAATACCTGGTGGGAAGCACGGGCAAGGTCTGCACTTGCTGGCAGGTGACACTGCAACACCCAGTGCTATTTCCAGCAGTCAGCTCTGAAAGTGTTGCAATATTGATTGCCTGAATGGTGTGCTGGAGAACAGCAATGACCACCCTGCCTATGCTCAAGTCAACCCTTTAGTGAAAAAAGTGATACCCTGTTTATCAGTTCTGTTTTGCTGTAATACAGAGGATATTTTAAAAGAACATCGTTATCTCTGGCTGCTCTTTGCAGCTGCCTCTGTGGCTGATGATGGGAGCCTGAACTGGAGAGGTCTCCTCTTTCACCTCCAGAACAGGGGCATTTTATCTCAATTTTACTGATAAGTTCTGCAGTTAATGAAGAGATAGTTTTATGTTAAAGATTAATTTTGGGTTTAGATGCTCACTTCTGCCTCTCTGTCATACAATAATCAAATCAGGATAGCCAAATCAGTAACACATCAAGTAATGAGAAATTTTCCTAACTCCTTTTTCCTCCTGAAATTCCAGTATTCCAACAGGAATCCCAGTGCCAGAAAGCACTTTAACGTTGCTGATGAGTGTTGCTGCTTTAAAGTAGTATGTTGGAGGACTGAGAGAAAAGAAGGATTTTTCTTTGTCTTGAAAACTGGAAAAAAAAGGGATACATTTTTGTTAAGGCAAAGCCCTTCTTCCAGGAAGTAGTCTTGTCCTTTGTGCCCAGTGAGGAGGAGTAATTCACTATCTACCTAAGAACATTTTCTGCTGATTGGTTTGCAATCAGATAAACGTGGGCATAAAAATATTCTTCCTGGAAATACAGCTCTGCTGGCTCTTGCTCTTTTCATGGCAGAAAGGTTCATAGGTAAGAACTGTGGGATGTGCAGTATTTGTTCCTAGATGTGGACAGCCTCACCATCTTCTCACTGCTACATCTTGCATGGCAGAAGGGAGAACTGCTGAACTTTTAGTAAATTTAAGGTGCCTGTGTCTGCATACAAATTTCTACCCTTAAAGTCCTCTGCACATTTGAAAGAACCTCTATTGACATGCTCAAATACAGTAAAAAACATAATAAGTAATAAGGGAGGTCCAGGTCCTGTCTCAGAGCCTTACAAAGACCTTTCATTTTTTTAAGTACCTGCTCTTCACTTGACTAATGTGTAAAACCTCATTTGCAAATGAAATACAAAATTTGGGGAGGAATTCAATGTTTGTTTTAATTTTTTTAAAATAATTCTATTTTTACATGAATCCTGCCTTCATTTGTCTTAGCTTTAAGTGTTTCACACTGGAGGTATTCCTGAATTAGAATAGTACAAGTCAGATTAAAAATAGATCTATTATATCTAGTAGATCCATTTAACTATTTGTCTATATTTATTACATAATACTACTGAGGAACTAAACTACCATGGGAAAAAAAAGCTATTATTACTTTATAGCTTAGTATTTCATTGCTAATTGTCCCTTATTTTATAACCTATAACTTGTAACAAGGTTTAAGGTCCACAATATAAGAGATTTGTTTTGTTATGGTCCTTATGCCGTTTATGGGATATCATAAACATTGCCAACATTGCTTAGAAGGATTTTTAAGTGTAAGCAGGTTTATCTCTTTAATAAAAACACTTTGCTGGTAAGCTTCTTAACTACAAGAAATGAAAGAACCAACTGGAATAGTTTGGTTGAATATCCTCTTTGGGATACAGTTTAGCGTTTAAGCAGGAGGAAATAGACTGATAAAAGAAAATAAGAGCAGAACTGAAACAATAGGCTGAAGAGGAGGGGAAAGCATCATTGGCTCTGCTTCTCATCTTGAAAATGTAAACAATCTAGGGCAGAGATGGTCCCCTACTTTGTGTTTCCATTACTACCTCAGGGCAAAGTGTAGCACCCTCACTTGGTTACAAAGTGATGGTATGTTCACTTCAGCAGAATTAGCACGCTTTAATTGTTGCCTTAATTAAAAGGGTATCTTAAATAATTACAGTCCTTAGTTTGAGTGAGCAAGTATGTGAGAAATATGCTATTAGGAACAATATTTCATTGACAGAAAAATGATATGATGGTTTTCAGTGCTTTCTGTCACTCTATAAGCAGCTATCTCTAGTTCAAGACAGCTATTTTTCATTTCTTGAAAGTGTAGTACAGAACAGCAGGGATGTTATTGTCATGTAATAATCAGTGGTACCTGGTTATTATTGCAGTTTACTGTCATTTCTCAATATACTCCCTTAATATAACTTATAATTGCATCCCAGAAGTATTGGTGTGGAATGGAGAGGCCCTTTCACACAATTCCCATATCTCCCCTCCCTACAGATATTTCTACTTCCCTGTGCAGTAGCAGCAGCAAGCCCTTCCACCTCTTGGCTCCTTCTCACTTCACACTGCAGCTAGAAAAGTATTTCCCAGCCAACATCCTTCAAGATAACCACAACTGATGCAAAACACAAGTTAAGCAACGCTGTCCACTGTGAGAGCTTGTCACAGTGAATTGAGATTGCGCTGATAGAGAGGAAAAAATCCCCAAGACCCTGATCTGGTAGTTGTTCCCTGGATGTCCATAATCACCCCTGGCTATGTCAGTGGAAGGAGATTGACTTAGAAAAGGTCCCCTTACCCAGGCAGGAGATGCTTCACAAGGATAGGTGTCTGCAGACTGTCCTCTGTACAGGTGACACCCAGCACCCTCCAGGAGTAGGGCCACAAAGATCTGAGGAACTGTGAGTAGGAAGAGCAATAACACAGAGCCCTCACACCGCCTGGTGGCTCATTCAGCAACCTCTCTGTACCCAGATCTCCAAGCACTCAGGCTGTAAGAGATAAGAGAAACAAACAAGTTCTTGTCCAGTGCCAATTCCAGTACATTGCTCTGAGTGCTGAGATAGGAAACTGTCCTATTTTCCAAAAACAACATTATAAATTCATTTGGCTTAACAATTAAGCAAATTTTTTTCAGATATTACTCACACTGACATGATGGCAAGAGGTTATTTCCATCTTGATATCCTTCTGACAGCTTTTCTCAGCCAAATAGCATAGGTGCTCCTTAGGGATAATTAATGTCCTCCTTGCAGGTGAGGCTTTTATCCAGCTGGTAGCTCACAGCCATTTCCAAACAGACACACCAGAGACTGGCTTTTTGGGCTCACAGAGGCAAGCTGACACTAACTGTGTGCCACTTTGTTTATGGAGCTATTCCTACTGCCTCCTCCCACCTTTCTGTGAGGTCCAGGAACTGGCAGAGTCAGGGCACAAGTCACTGAGGTGGTGATGTGCATGGTGTCCTTCACAGCACATGTCCAGAGCACCACAGAGTTAACTCAGTTTGACACTTCGCTGACTTCTGCATCTCAGCTGGGTGTCCCAGGAGACACAGCCTCCCAAGAAAGGCTTAGGAGTATTTTTCCACTGCAGTCCCCCTGTCATTGAAGTGTATCTGGGAGAAGGCCAAAGCAAGCCAAGGTTCTTCTCTTGACAAACACAGGCTCTTTTAAGCTTAAATGAAAAAAAAAATAAAAAAAGCTTAAATATAAGCTTTCTTAAGCTTAAATATCTGAAAAATAAAAGAACCCACTCTTTAAACATACAGGAATATATATACGCACACTCACAATAATGTTGCCTCTTGCCAACAGATGTTACCACTGCAAAGCTTTTGTGCAAAGCTTTGTCACCTCCTCAAGGAGGAGTGTGAGCTGTTTCATAGCACATCTCTTCTGCCAAAGTGCCGCTGCCTCTAACAGGGGTGCAGCACCCTCCTCAGCAGAGGAAATGCCCATTGAACCAGGGCTCTGCACCACTCACACATTGTGATGGCCCTTTTGTGAAAAATACAACAGCACCTCAACAAAAACAGACAGACAGATAATTACGGGACTGGAGCATTTGGTTAGACAACTGGTTCATATCTGGACATCTTAATTAAACACCTGCACCCAGGCACTGAGCCTGCTAACAACCAAGGCAGATGCATGCTGAGTGGATCAGGATCTTTAATTGAGTTGCTATAAACTTAATTACAACTTCTCTGGAAAGTAGTTCTCTACTTACTCCACTCTTTCTTTACAGACAAGTATTTTTGCTCCTTTGTTACAGTCTTTTCAAGCAGAGAAGTTTGTCATGTATTCAAAGGCCTTTCAACAAAACTGTAGCATGTGCTTTGACATGGCTTAAAAAGCAATGATGGCTTTTCATTTTTAGTACTATAGAAAATCAAACACTTATAGCTAATTTTTTTTTTAAAGCTCCTAACTTCTAAGAAAATGACAGTTCTGCAAATCACTGATTTGGATATAAGCCATTAATCCCACACTCTGAGTGCCTAAATCCTTATTTAAATTATGAAATTTTGGTTGAAATATTTGAGATAGTTCATGAAGATGCATAAAGTTTGTACCCCACCACTCACTGCACTTCAGAAGTAATTAAGTTTTATTATGAAATAAAATAGAGAAAGAGAGGGAGTCCCATGGCAATATTTAAAAATGTCATTAGCTATGAAACGTCAAGTGCACAGTTAGAAGAGCAGTTCCACCACATGCTCCTGTCCTCATGCCTGGAGGCCAGTCTTTGACCAGGAAGAAAAGCATCTTCTCCCCATTTGCAGCACTCAGTGTACCCTTTCCTACAAAATGGGAAAGACTGGGAAGGGAATGGCATCTTGGATACATCTTGCCTGGATATGTGCTGGAGTCACCAGGCTTTTGGTGCTCCAGATGAGCAACACTATCACAGGCTTTAGTTTCAACTATTTTTAGTGAGAGTTTCCTGATCAGGCCCCTAAAACACAAGGTTCCCATCACCTACCTTAGAGAGGAGGTGCTGGGCTGTGCACACCATGCTGGGTTGAGCTTTAGGGCAGCACTCAGCTTGCTGCCTTGGCTTGCAGAGCTGGGAGAGCAGGAACCACATCCAGTGCATTGCCACAGGCACTGCTCCAAGCTCCCCAAACATTCCAAAGACTCATTCCAAACTGATCATCATCCAAAGCCTTCCCTAGTTCTAGGGGGCTATTGGGCAGCCTAAACAAACATCACCAGGTTTTCCAACTCTAACTCTTAATCACAAACCCCACCAGTCTGACACACCCATTGCTTTTGTTTCTCATTTATTTGTGCAAACCCCTTGTGTTCTTTGACTGTTTCCCCCGTGTTGGACAGATATAGTCAGTGGTAGAGCTGGATATCCTTTTATCACACAATCATTAAGGTTGGAAAATATCTTCAAGTTAATTTCAATAGTAAATCCCAGTCTGTAACATGCAATTGCATAGAATCTGCCCATAAAGAAACACTTGAAATTTAGACATAGTATTTTTTTTCATTTCTTCGCAATATGGAAAACCCACAATATGTGTGTTCTTTTGCTATGCCTCCTAATTAGAGTACAAAAAAAAAAGGTAGCATTTTTTCTTTTTTTTCTTATGCCAGAAGTCAGTATCTTAGATTACAGAAAAGCACATAGGAACCAAAAAAACATTCTGATACCCCCTCACTTTCCCAAGGTGCCTTTCCTCATTAAGGCTATAGAGTTTAGGATAGATTGTTTTCATGTTAGTACCTACAGGGAAACAAAACTGGCTGGGCCAGGATATTCCCATAACAAAAAGCTATCTGAGGAACACACACAACCCTCCACACTAGTAATAAACTGCAGGGGACTGAAGAAAATGCCATCATGAAATGAAACCAGTTTCTGTCACATTTAGAGAACTACATATGCGTTTATAATGTCAGCCTCAGTTTCTCCACTTGCAGCAAGTTTGCTTTTACCTATCTGATCATTCACTAGTAGGGTAAAGGAGAAGTTATTACTGAAAATAGTGCTAGAGGCAACACATGTGTCTATTTCCAAAGCAGAAATTACATTAAGAAGTCATAGTGAAAAATCTAACTCTGGAATATGACATTTAAAGAGTCCAAACCATCCATTTAGTACCTTGTGAGCGATCTCAGCTAAATACAAAGGTGTCAGAGATGTCAGATCCTTCATTTGGGTGCAGCCTTCCCAGACACAAGTAAATACGTCTTTTATCTACCTAGACTTGCTCTGTTTTACCTGGAAGGGAGGAAAAAGCTCTGTGGAGATATTAGAAAGATACCACAAGTAAATATGTCTTATCTACCTAGACTTGCTCTGTTTTACCTGGAAGGGAGGAAAAAGCTC